TGAGGTCGAAAAACCTTTGCGCAACCTTCATCATAGCCTTGAGCTCCCGCTCGTTGTCGGCTTGGCAGCAAGGCGGCTCCAAGGCCAGATTGAGATTGAAATACTGGGTGAACTGCTTCGCCAAACTGCTGCGCAGGAAAGTGTCTGAATAGGCCTCCCTCATGACGAAATCAGAATAACACACACTTCTGCGCTTCCGGAAATGGATGAGGTCCCACAATTTGGGGACCTTATAGTCCACGGGCAACTCGTTCAGGACATTTCGGTCCGACACCACCGCCAGCATCAGGTGCTTTATTCCGATTTTCTGGAAATGTGAGATCAGGGCGCCGGTGATGCTCCTCACCCTTGAGGCCTTCTGGGTGGTGATGGCGTCGATGTATAGGACCTGGAAGTGGCACCCGTCGAACGACTCCATAGCGTAAGTGGATAGCCGGTACGCCACCACATCCTTGGCCGACACAATGATCTTCCGATTTGAAAGGAAACAAGGACAGTTAGTCAAGGTGGTAAACTGGTCCACCCCAATAGCTCACCTTCTTCAAGTGGAGCTCATCGATCTGGAGGAAGAAAGGCTTGGTCCACTCGTTGCCCTCTTGCCCCACTGCGCTCAGCAAGGTGACCGTACCCTTGTCCACATTTACGAAGTGGTCCACGAAGGACAGGAACTTCTCAGTGCGACCCCGGAGGGTGTCCCCGGGATTCAGACGGTGGCGACCAATGAACTCGCAGCTGAGGATGACCTCGGTGACGTCGATGGGCGGAACGGGCTCCCTTGCAAGATATCCCGCTTGGGCTTGCTCTTGGGCTCCAGCTTGGACTTCCACTTGGGCTTGGGCATCCGCTTCCGCTTCGGCTTCAGCTTGGGCTCCAGCTTGGACTTCCGCTTCCATGGCGTCGAAATCCATTTCGCAATGCGTAAACACGTGGTAAAATCAAAAAAACCGTTAAACCAATCGAAATCGGCCTATCGATCTATCGCAAGTGCGATACTTCAGGGATGACTTGATTCGCTTATCGACACTATCGAAAATCGGCACCAAACAACAGCTGTTCGGATTTCGCAATGGAGAAGTTCTCCTTCAAAAAGACCTCCTCGTCCTTCGAAGTGACCTTCGAGTGCCACTCCATCACCAACAGTGCCCAGGACGTCGCCTCGCTTATCAGGCAATGCCAGACTCCACCCTCGCTCCCGCCTAAAAGGGAACGCATGCGGAAGTTGCGATCCTCAGCCAGCGGCAGCTCCGGAGCCTCCTTCGGAAACCTGGGTGTCGCCAGGGAGTTGTTCCAGCCAAGCTCCCACGAGGGTGAAGGGAACATCATGCACCTTCTGGAGGAGAGCGACGATGAGGATGGGGCGGTGGCCAACAAGATCTCCAGGAAGCCCGAAGACGGCGGCTCGGACTCGGACGATGAGAATGCGGCTGCAGCCAACAAGATCTCCAGGAAGCCGGAAGACGGCGGCTCGGACTCGGACTCCACCGTCACCAGCCAGCTGATGAGTCGATCGCAGCTGAAGACCAGCCTGGCTGCGAGCAGTCTGCTGCAAAGGCTGTCGGATCAGGAGCAGCAGGTCTCACTGCTCACAGACGAGGGCGCACTGTCCCATGACGACCTCTTCTTTGAAGAGCAGCTGAACGCCATCATCGGAGACTCGGGATCCGACAAGGAGAGCCAACTTTCGTCTTCCCTGCCCCTGGTGCAACCAGATGACGCTGAGGAAGCGCCGCAACCGCCGGCCTTCGAGTGTGTGCTCTGTAAGCTCTCGTTTAGCCGCCAAAAGGAGGTGGACCGACACAACGGGTCGCAGAAGCACGTCAAGAGGGTGGCTCAGACTTGCTCCGCATGTGAGGTGTATTTCGTCCGCATCAGCGACTTGCAGGAGCACACCTGTGGGTTCAACACTGTGGAGCAAATCTCGAAGTACGAATGGAAGTGCCCCTTCTGTCCGTACACGTCCATACGGACAAGCGTCGACGTGCACCTGTCGGTCCACCTTGGCAAGGAGCGTTTCCACTGCAAGGTGTGCAACATATGGATCGCCGGCTTTAACAGCATGAAGAGGCACCAGGAAACGCTCCTGCACAAGAGGCGGCTTCAGGGCAACGTCGAACGAAAGGAGTCCCAGTGCATCTTGTGCAAGTACTCCACGACGAGCAAGCAGGCCTTCGAAAGGCACCTCCAGAGTTCGCGCCACATCAGCCTGGCCACGGCGAAGAAGGAGCAGCTGCTGCTCGTCAGCCAGACCGGGAACCGCAGGTACCTGGGCAATAGCCAGAGGGACAAACAGGCGGCCGCCGACCTCCTGGAAGCCATTGACGATGTGACTCCAAAAGGACCGACCGATCTCAACCCATTTCTGTAACTCTAGTTTTACATTAACGCAATAAAATAAATGTACATTTTTCCGGTTTAAAATGCCGGTATTTATCGATTCCGGCTTATTTTCGATCATTTCTGGCTTATTTCCGATTTCCGGCTTATTTTCCGGTCATTTCCGATTTCCGGCTTCTGGGGTGAAAAAAAGGGCGACTCGTGCTGCTAAGCAATTTTAAAACACAGGGATCCTGCTAAATAATTTTAAAAGACAGGACGATTTGTGCAGCTAAAAATTGAAAACACAGGGTGACGCAATTTTACATATTTAGTACATGTGGTCTAAATTATTGATTGGGGTCTTGTCTTTGCTAAAGCAGCACACCACCTGGTAGGACTACAAAAGAAACTATTGTGCAGGTTTGTGTCTCAGATAAATTAAAAAAAAAAGGTTCGCCGTATAGGTGTCGCCACACAAATTACCAAGGTCCTTTACCGTTAAATTTAAAATTATAAGGTCCTTATAACTTGGTCCAAGTTAAAAATGATGCCAATCGACTAAGTAGCAAACTGCATCCGGGGCATTGCACTTCCACTTCCACCTCCACTTCAGGGAAAAACTAATATACACTTATAGATCACTCACTGATTGAGTGATAGCCACATTGAGAGATGGCCAAGAATTTTCCCTCGATGGGGAGAAGAGCGAAAGATCGGGAGGCGAATGAATCATCTAGATTGTACATGGTCGGAGGAATACCAAAAATACCCCGTTTGTGGGGCGACTACGTGCCAAGTACTCGCCATATAAGGCATAAATGCCAGCCGAGGCATCCCATGTGTAAGCATTCAACACGTTTTTCCTCGAACATTTTTTTTGTTGAGCCACTTAAATAAATAAAATATGTTTCCAATGCGTCACATGAGCATTAATGTGAAAGGACGTCCAAAGAAATTGAATATCCCAAAAATGTTCGGTTCATTTAACCCAACTCGAGGCTCGGGGGTCAACTAAAAAAGGCAAAAAAGTGTCGGAAAAAATTCGGCCCAAATAAGGCGTATCAAAACGAGGCGGCGAGGGTCAGTTTGCCATTGAACACTCGAGTGGACAGCAGACAGGTGGAAATGCCCGGTCAGGAAACATTTTTAGTCCTGTGGCCTTGGTTCACTGAATTTCGGATTGAATTAATGAAAACAATTTGCAGGCATTATTTTGTGGTGGAATCGATTTGAGAGGGAGTGCGAAATTTATTTTCAATTTGTGCGTGGCGCTGTGGTCGTTTTCCCATTTTCCAAAATACGTAAAAAAAACTTTAAGTTGGGTTTGAAAAATTAGAAATGAGAAAATGTATTTAAATATTAAGGATTTCTCTCAATTGGATGCTGAAAAATGCAATAAAAGTAAATTTTCAGTTACCTTACCCATACAAAGTGTAAGAATGGCACGCTCTGGCCATAAATCAAATGACTTGAAAAATGCTTTATTAAATAAAATGGAGGTGGCTGGGATTTCCGCAGGCCAGCAAAACGGCTGGAGTCCGAGTTGGGATGGCAAGGATATGGCCATATGTGCGTCCAGTTGGCCAACTTCTCTTACCCCTTTGCGAACATCCTGTCTGGCTTGCAACTAACTGTCTGCTTCCTTTGGCATGCCACACGTTTTACCCCTATACCCCGCCGACTCACCATGCCCATGCTGAAATATTTCTGCGCCCTGCTGCATTTTGATTTACTTTCATGGCTAGACAACGCATGTTGAGGCGTCATAAGACCGGCTCACTTGTTGGGCTTCGGAAATTATGTCCTGCAGGTGTCTGCGGCGCAACTGATTAGCTCCTGCCCCCAAGGGACTCGCCGGGAATCCTGTGCGACACTAATGCGACAGGTTGCCACCGAACGACGTGCATTAAAATTCAATTACAAAATATTTTCCAACTGCAGTACGTGACCGAGGCTCTAAACTCCGGGGTCCAGGGTCACTCTCTATTTATTGTGGGCTGAGGAGTGCCCTTCTTTGAACTTGGCGACAGCTGTTCCCATTTACAAGAGCTCAGTTCCGCCGCCCATGGTATTGCATTAATTTCACAGATCAAACGCGCTGACAGAACCGCAAGCTAATGAAAATGTGGAAAAGCCTCCGCCAGTTCCCATTTTCATTTTTCATTTCTATTTAATTTCCCATCCCCAGTCTATAAGCGCTTTTTAATGAAATGCGTTGATGTGTGGGCAAGGTCTGCATTTTGACAAGTTCTTGGGGAAATGGGAAAGTAAACTTCTAGAATTTTATTTTATGCTAGAACAGCTGGGCATATAATCTTCTTAAGCAAAATTAAGCAATTGGCTTGTATGTTGACGATCCAAGTGTCTAAAAAATAATTCTAATAAATTAGTTTATGAATTTTAGTTAGGTTCTATTTATCTATGGAGTGAGCAGATAATTGTTTTTTTTTTTTTGCGGAAAGCCATCGATTCTTAGAATTCAAGACTAAAAAATGTTAACCGAGATTCCGTTAATATAAAAATCCGGAAATGTAGATTACAATGTTTCTCGTGAAATTTACAAAAAGCAAATATAATTTACACTCGTTATCTTTTCCACGAAATTAACATTGGCCGCTGCATTCGAAGATGATTAAGTAGCGCTTGAGGACGCTATAAATACTGAGGCCTTGACTGCATCAATTATGAGTTTCTTTCGAACTGTACAAAGCGAAACATCAAGAGTCAACATGAATTCTGCACTGCAATTGAGGTAAGCTATGCTCAAAATTCAAACAAAATTCAGTCGTATAAACATTAAATACTTTCAGCTGCCTTCTGGTCGTTTTGGGTTGCCTTTTGGGAACAGGACAGTGCCAAACTGATGCCGAATTTACCGCTAAGGCCCGTCAAATGATCGCCGTATTTGGCAACCAGTCGGTCGATCGGTACACAAAGGCCCGAAATTTGCCGGCACTGGTTGAATTCCTCGAGAAATACTCCAATCGCATTCAACTGACAGCTCAAGAACGGACAAATGCCAACAATGTTGTGAGGAGGTATAGGGCACAAAGGGCCCAGCAAGTCGATGGAGTTTCGGCCCAGGGAGGATACTGGTTCCTAATACCCATTTTGGCACCCGCCATTGCGGATATTGTGGGAGCCATCGCCAAGGCCCTCGCCAGTTTGTAAGGATCTTACTTACATTGGCAGAATGAATGGGCAAAACACGACTTTTGGAAGTTCTTATGGACATGAAAATGGAAACATTTAGAATTTTATTTTGCATCTTAAGGAGCTGAATGCATAATAAAGACAACTAAAAAGACATATGACTTTTATTTTAATCATCTTTTCTATTTAGCAGATAATTCATTTCTGTGAAGTAATCGATTCCAATCATTTTCTAAGAGATTCCTAGAATTTAGAGGTCAAGCTTAATAAAATTAATTAACCCAAGATTAGGAAGACTGACAATACGGCTAAAAATATAGAAATCCGGAAATGTAGATTGTAATCTAGTATATAAAAGCAATAAGTAACGCTCCTTATGTGTTCCAAGAAATTAACATTAACGTCCATCATCAGAAGATGATAAGGTTCAGCTTGCTATAAGTACAAGGCAATCGAATGCATCTTGTGAGTTTCCATCGAACAGTACAAAGCCAAACATCAAGGTTCAAGACGAATTTCGCATTGAAATTAAGGTAAGCTATGCTCATAATTATTTAAAAACTCATTCGTATAAATATTAAATATTTTCAGCTGCATTCTGGTCGTTTTTGGATGTCTTTTGACAACGGGACACTCCCAAACTAATGATGAATTTACCGCTAAGGCCCGTGAAATGATGGCAATATTTGGCAATCCTTCGGTCGATCAATACACAAAGGCCCGAAATTTGCTGGCACTGGTTGAGTTCCTCGAGAAATACTCCAATCGTCTACAGCTGACAGATCAGGAACGGGCAAATGCCAATAATGTGGTCAGGAGATATAGGGCCCAAGAATCCCAGCTAATCGATGGAGTTCCGGCTCAGGGAGGATTCTGGTTCCTACTACACATTTTTGCTCCCATTATTGGCGAAATTTTGGGAGCCATCACTAAGGCCATTATTGAATAAATCTGAATAATAAAATAAAACTGTATTTATAAGGTGTAAGTAATTACAAACAGGACTTAGTTGCCTGGGGATTTCACAATACTTATACTTTATGAATTTCCTTTCCACATTTCTTTTCACTTTTCATTCGGGTGGGGTGAACAAATACAAATACAGTTTTCGTACTAAATTCAAGGATTTGTTTATAATACCGTACTGAGAATGTCGTTTCCTCACAATTTCACAATTCTAATAGGGTAAGCTTTTCGCAATTACATAAATACAAAACCAATCGATAAATTTACCCCCTACATTTTTTCAGCTGCCTTCTGGTTATCCTGGGATGTCTTTTTGGAGCAGGTCAAGCTCAAAACGATCCTGAATTCACGTATAAAGGCTGTCAAATGCTCGCGATCTTTGGCAACCAATCGGTCGATATAAACACCAAAAACCGAAATTTGCCCGCACTCGTTGAGTTCTATGAGAAGTACTCCAATCGCCTACAACTAAATGCTCAAGAACGTTCTTATGCCAACAATGTGGAGAGGAGATGTAGGACCCATAATCCCAGAGAGTGGATGGTGTGCCTGCTCAGGGAGGATTCTGGCTTGTAATACCTTTGGTCCTTCCCTTTGTGGTGTCGATTGTGGAAGGTATTGCTAAGGCCATCGCCCAGTAATCAAGCTTATCTTCAACTTTAAATATAAAATTATATTTCTTTCATGTAAGCAAACATTTCTGATTTAAAGTCCAGAAAAAATAAAGTTAAATTGGATTTTAAAAAATTTCTGAACAGAATATATTTGGTTTCACTTTCTTTACTACTCTCTATCCCACAATCAACCAGTAAACTCCCAAACTTTTCAGAACAAATAGACTCAAGTGGGTTCGTTCGTATCTATGGGGATTTTCTGGCGGTGTGTTGGTGATTCAATACCTGTGCGAACAGCGTTTCCTGTTGACAGGTGAGCATTGTCGATTGTCAAGTCGCCTGCCATTGACAATTTGTAAATGACATTTGACATGCCGCAGCAAGAGTGGGGATCTGGGATCTGGGACCTGGCAGTCGACATCGAGTGAATTTTATGCAAATTGGCAAATTCTAGCTGTGTCTCTCCGGCTGGCCTTTGTGAAGTGGATACACTTGTGTATCCCGTGTATCCTGCAGGAAGTTGTTATGGTAGTCAAGTGGCTGCCATCGCAATTAACTGCTTCACAGGCCGATGAGAGGTCCTCGACTGACTGACTGGCCAAATTGTGCGTGCCGCGAGGAACCGAAAAAGTGTCAAATGAAATGGAGCCAGCTGAAATGTCACCCGAAACCATTCAAAGTTCACCGAGGCCTGAAGTCAAAGTCGCATTTATTACAGGCAATTCTTCCATTAAAATTCCGCTTTATTGCGTCGAAAGAGCGACAAGCACGCCACATTTACAAAACGCAATGCGGGGTTCATCTTCTTGGAATTGAAAACAACTGTGATACCAGGCGATACTCGAACAACGGCAATTTCTGGTTGACTCATTGGTGTCAGCGGAGGCAACATACCGCCTTAGGAGGCAACTTTTGAGATGACTCATGGAAACTGGCGAGAAAGTGAGTGCTGACCGAAAGAACCACATAGCCAATAAAGGCTCATTATAATCAGGTTGCTGTGGGTGGAGGGAAGAAGAAGGTTTCCTCTTGAATTGTGTGGTTGATGTCTTAAGTTAGCTTGGAATATTTTAGCAGCAAATGCTTCATTACTTTAAAATACTTTATACCTGCCACAAACTAACTTTCTTATAAGCCATTGAGAAGTAAAAATATTTTTAAAGCCTCCCATAGTTTGTAGGTTTTATATAAAGGTTGTTCAGGATATTATCAAAGTAATTCCCAAATTGTATTATATTTTTAATCACAATTATCTAATTTATGGTGATATATTTCCCTGAAATATTTTCCTGAATCCCTTAATAAATTTAAATAAATTAATAAAATATAAACTCACCGTTCTTCGATGGTGGTGGGCAGTTGGGTGCGAGCCCGCATCATGCTGAGGAAGTGTTTGCCATGTGAGATGCCTCCGCTGTGAGATGAACTGGGTCCATTCAGACCACTGCTGCCCTCCGAAAGGTATCCGTTGTCGATGTCGTGGAATCGCGAACCACCTGGAGAGCTGCCCACTCGCAGGGCATCGCCATCGCTGCAATATCCCTGGCCAATGTCCGATTCGCAAAAATCCAGATACGACTGATGCGGATGATGGCCACCCCGTGCTCCTCTCGTCGGCAGGGTCACGTGGGAGTTGTAACCCCTGAGTAGTGGTCTCATGGGTAGGATAGAACTTCCCGAAGATGATGTTTGCGGAGGTGGTGGCAACTGCTCCTCCTTGGACTCATAGATGGTGCCCACAATCTTGGAGGGAATCGTGTGGAACTTGTTCGGCGATGCGGTGGGTGTGTTGGGAGCCGAGTTGACCAGTGGCCTTGGCAAACCCTGTCTTTGTTGGTGATGCTGCTGCTGCTGCGACGTTGGAGAGGCCAGTATATGAGGTCCGGCATTGTACTCCAGCTTTCGAGGAGCACTTAAAGAGGACTTTGGAGGAGGAAGTCGACTACTTCCGTAGATTCCCATGCCCGAGCTGTGCTGCGGAGTGCTGGGCTCACTGAGATAACCGTGCGATGATATGTGGCTCGTTGGCTGACTATTCGCATAGTAGGGAGGTGGTGGCTGTGGCGACTGGAGGATATGATGATGATGTGTGCCGCCCGGTGGCTCAACCACCGGTGGCTGGGATATGTTCGCTGATATGTCGCTGGTTTCGCGTTTCAGCAGGGGCTGACTTGGTTGAACCTCTGCTGCGGGAGGATGGTTAATAGAACTTCCACCCCCCAGAGAGGGCAATTTACTGGTGCCCTTGATGGCGGCAATGGGCTTGGGCAGACTGGGACCGCCACCGCCGGGACTCTGCAGCAGTTGGGGCGCCTTCAAAGAGCTCTTTGAATCCGACTTGGAGTGCAGCGAGGACTTGGAGGCCGTCTTGGGGGTATTCTTCTCCACCACTCCACCCACTATTCCTCGGGCCAAAGAAGACTTCCCGGCTCTTCCCATTGTTGAGCTGCGCGACTCATTGCCCGACTCCTCCTTGTGCAAGGACCTCGCCGGGCTCTTCTCCTTCTTGTCCAGCTTGGTCGCCTTGTTGGTCTGCTCCTTCTTCTGCTGGGCAGCCAGCAGCTTCGACTGCTTCGTCTTGGGCTGCGGCTTCTGCGAACTCACGCTAATACTGGGCGGCTTCAGTTGGGAGCCATGACCGTCGTTCAGACTCAGGCTAGAATCGGAGCGTTCCGAGCGGGCGGAACTGAAGCCCGATGAGGAGGAGGTCCGCTTCGACTGGATCTGCGTTTTGCTGGCCACCGAGGCTGCGTTCACCGCATTCTGCTGCTTCTCCTTGTTGAAGAGCTTCAGCTTGTCCAGCATCGAGTGCTTCTGTGCGGGCGCAGTCTGCGGACTGCTCGGCGAGGGAATGCCGCTCTGGTGGCCACTCTTCACACTCGGCGGTCGGAGGCTGAAAGGATCGGATATCTTGATCATCAGAAAGTAAATAATCCCTAGATATTTTGTGTATTTTTTTTAAATATTACATTTACATAAAAAAAATAACAAGTACTAAAAAAATTCTGTGCAATTAGAAGACCTCTTATTTGCACAAAATCGTATCCCAAGAATTTTTCACACAAAAAAAAAAAAACAAATAAAAAGCCGATATAATTTATCATAAATCAATTATGACAAATTTATGATGCAATCATATCAACATGATATTTAATCATATCATATAAAATACCCAATTTAGTATTTTTTTAACATATAATGTAAAATGAGATAAACATAATTTTCATTCATATCTAAATGATATGAATAGCTTAATCTTTTAAACATATAAAATTGACCAGCTCAAATCAATCTAATCTTTTGTCAATTTTTTTTCTGTTCATAAACTAAAAGTTAATTTTTTTAAATTGGATAATTTAGGAATATTATTATACAATTATAAGGCATCGAAATTAAGTTTTACTTACCTGTTATTGTTTCCGCTCTTGAGACTCTGGATCGTGTGATTGCTGGTGGGCGGACTGTTTGGACGGCTCGAGTTGAAATCACTTCCGCTCTTTCCCAACCCCGGTATCGCTGAAAACAAGAACCACATCGGGGGTTACAGATTGCTTTAAGGAACCGCTTGCTAACCCACTCGATTTCATGAATTTTAGGCGCCCACTTAACAGAAAGAGTCAACCTATAAATCAATGCAAAAGGGCAGCGCGGACGTTAAAGTTAATTAATTGCTTTGCGTGAGGCTGATAACAGATTGGGAGGAGTCGCTGCTCCGAGATTTATGTCCGTCCAGAGACCCGTCGAATATTTGGTATATAAATCATTAAGGACAGTGAAAATGTTCTATAAATATGACCGAGACCGTGACAAAAGCAGAACAAAGTACAAATCGGGTCAAAAATGCAAGACAAAATGTAAACTGAAATTAAAGTAAATATCTTAACTGTTTCTATTTAATTTGTATGCTTTAAGTTTGCATATTTGAGACTCTGAATTCTTTCGCTTTTTTAAGTACTCTCCAGCCTCCTAATTAAATAAAGAATTCAGTTACCTTTTCCACAAATCAACGTCACCTCTTTGTGAAAAAGCGAGTAATTCGGAATTCTAACCCCAAACGGGTCCCCGGGGAGTTTTGATTGCGGAGTACGGGAGATCTCCCCTCCAATGTCAAAATCTCGGTCACAATCCCAACCAGAGAACGCATTCGAAAGGGCTGAGCTAAGTGCAGTCCCTGCTTTTTAGCTTTGAGGGTTGTTTGCTGGGCTGCGGGACCGAAATTTGTTTATTCCCGGTAAACAACGGGGAGGTCGAGGTCCCTCACCTCCCCTAAAGCGCATCGGGGGTTGGTCGAGGGCTTTAAATATTTTTTAATAAATTTCTCACACCCCCGGGAAGGGTACTCACATGGTGTATGGTTCGGTGTGGGCGGCAGAGGACGCACTTTGTCCGGCGGACAGCGACGTTGAACCATCACGGTGGCTGGCAGTGGGATGGAAGTTCCGCCATTGACCTTCGCATAGGCGGGCGCAATTTGTCTGCAATCGGAATGAAAATACATAAAGTTATTAACCGGCATATCATAACAGAAATATGAAATGAATTCACAGAGAATGGTAATACAAATATATGTTTTTTAAATATACAATCTTTTATGGTTTCAATGGCAGACGCCCACGCCTCTCGTTCCACTGTTAATATTTATAGGCAGTCTGCAGTCGCAGATTTGCATGGAGATACTTTTAAAAATAATTCTGCGCTTATAAATTAATGAACGTATGGCTTGCTGTTGCCGCCAAGCCCCTTGGTGCCATAAAAAATAAAAATAAAGAAGAGAAACAACAACGACTTTAAAACGCGGCAATGCAGTAAATTTTTTATGATTCGTGCTCATAAATTTGCATATCTCGTTGATTGTCATACGACAAAGATACTTTTGCTGGCAGACCTGTAAAAAGCGTAGTTAAGTAGCCAATTGAAAATTCGTGATTGGTTGCCAGTCCATAATTGTTCCACAATTACATAAAAAAGTAATTTTATGCGGGACTTAAGGGAAGTATAAGAATGGTTTTGATGGGGATTCTATCTTAACTTTTTTCTTAGCAAACCTTTTCGCAGCCGGGACCCTTAATAAATTACCCAGGCAAACAAAACAATTTTCCAGAGCTTTTCATTCAAGTTTCTTGCGCAATTAGTCATAAGTCTGATTAAGAAGGCAAATTAAGAGGGAAGTATAAAAGCGTATAAAAATACAAAACGCACTAACTTTTAATAAGTCGCGCACATAAAGTTCTGGACGGGATGTCGAGCCAACTGGTAGACAAAGCTGCGAGATACAAATGTATCTTACTTCTGCCACCGCCACACAATTGCTGTTGGCCATTAATAAGTCAGCCGGAAAAAGGCGGAGCACGGGTAACAATTGTATTAAATGCACAAAAAGCAGACAATAAAAACAAAGCTGACAGACAAATGAAGTTGCCGTGGCTCCTACTGCAAATTAAATACGCATGCCAGACTCTAAAAGGATGTTTCCCTTTCGAAGACAATTTTACTTGCCATTTCGCAGACAAACAGCAAGCGAAACTTGGCAAAATCTCACAAAATTACTTTCATATTATTTTATTTGCATTTTATATTGTTCGTCAAGACGTCTGCGGAGTTTGGTTCGCCTTTGTCGACGCGTTTTTTGGAAGGATGTCGATTTTTACCCACACGAGACACCCCTTTCCATGCCTTTAACGTTGAATTGCAAGTGTGGATTGTATTGAAGAAATTGCCAAACACCTTTGCACCTCAATATATACATACTTCTTATACATGGAAAATTTGTATATTATTTGTAAAAGCATCAAGTAATTTTGTAAATTTTTTACCATAATTGTTTCCCTAACATTTTATACTTCGTTTTTTAGTGTTACCTACATATTCTTTTGCCTTATCTTTTAATTTATTTGTATTTTTTTATTATTTATTATAACAGATCTTAATAATCCCCTGAAGCATAGATCCCCTTTTCCTAATGATGGATCTGGACCATTTGTATCCTCCACCTACACAATACTTCTGTAAAACTCCTGTAGCTCCATCTATATCCACAGACTGCTGTTTAGCTTGTTATGAGTGGGAAATGCATTTCGTATCTTTCGGTTGCAATCTCCTCTTTCAGGTGTCGCATGTCAAAAGTGATGCGCCGGGCGCCTCGACATCTCTTTATTTGCTCTTTGCTTTTCCCCCTGCTTTTCGTTTTTGTGCAAATTGAATTTACGTCTTTAGTACGCATTTTTGATTTGTAGCTGGAGATGCGGAGATTTGCACAGATGCAGAACAGAAATGAACAGAAACTGAACGGCGAACAGCTGCCAAATGTCTTTGACCTTTCCTCGCAGACTGAATGAATGGCACGGGTGTGTGTTTCTCATAATAGCTGCCACTGTGGATGGCTGATTCCTCTGGTTCCACTGCCTCTTGGTGGCATTCACCTGTGTTCTACCTTCCCCGGCACACGTACTTCCCCTCTATTCCAGAAACCCACAAGCCCACGCAGTTTTGGACCAGTCACTAAACATTTCCGTATGGCGGGGGAAACGCTGATGGCATCTGTATTTATATATATGAGGTCCTGCTCCACCTGCCTTCCGCCCCTCTAAAAACTTCTCGTCCTGGCTGCCCATTAGTTTGCATTGCATTTCGCTGCTGCTTTGTGTACAATGTATCACTTGAGTTGCATTTGTCATGGCAACAGCTTCTGAAAGCCTGACTCTCATTGGGGAGCCAAGCATTACACTCTAAACAACGGTGATGTCTACACAGAGATAAAATTGTATACATAAAAAAATGTATTTTTATAGAAACTTATAGAAAACTAAAGTATAATGTTGTAATAGATAATCCAAATTTCTTTAGATTCATCAATTTATTGAAAATTGATATAATTTACTAAGCTTTGAATAATTTGACTAATTTATATATCTCTTTTTTTACACAATAATCCATATTTATTTGAATATTTTCAGATAATATATAAACAAATAAATCCATAATTATTGAAATTAGTCCAGAAAGGATTTAAACAAATAATAAAATAAATATTAATTGCTTATAAGTATGTTCTATGGTAATTTCTTATGCCTTTATCATTCCTACTGTGGTAGATATTATTCTACCGTTTCTAAATATTTTATAAATATTTTTTAGCAGTGCAATAAAGACGAGAGTGGGGCTACGTTTATGGACATAAGAAGGCTCTGCTGGCTGTTCCTGCTGTGACCATTTTGGGAATCTGCCAGTTGCCTTTTAAGCAGCATCTTTCGCTTTTATTATTGCCTGGCACACATGAGAGTATTGCATGGAGTTTGCCCGTTATGGTTAGAGCTCGATATCCAGCTTGGCCCTTTGGCATTTGAGTTATTTAACAATACACAACCTTCTTCTCTTCATCCGAGAAGATCTCTTCTCCTCCAAATGACTGCACCTCAAGAGCCGCACTTTATGCACCTCTAAAGACTCATCACGTTAGATTGGTTCGGCCAATTTTCACATCCATCTCAACCCAAAAACCCAAAACCCCTTGAACCAAGCTAGTTGAGTTCCCGAGTTGAAGTGGCTTGGCTGTTTTGCCGTTAAGCGCAGAGAATTTTCATAAATTTGCCACAGCAATTAGGCTGGCTACTGCAAGACCGCCAAAGAACCAGGGAACCGAAGAACCAAAGAACCGCTATCCAAAACAAAACCGCATCTATCGGATACATTTTTCAACTTGGACCGCCTGTGCCAGCCTGTCAGCCAAAATCAACAGCCAAGGCCTGTTTGCAATTTATGCGAGTTCGTTTGGCCAAGAAGCCACCACAACTCGGGGCACTCGAGAATAATTTACTTCGTCTTTGGATAGGAGTGCTTTATTTTTACTCCTCGTATCTTTTCGTATTCTTACCCCGACATGGGACTTTTGAGTAGGTGTTGAATGGCTGGTAATAAGCATAATTATACACCATTGATATGGGGAAGGAGTGGCCAGCAAACAGACTCGAATTAACGAGCTATTCACAGAACATCTAAATGAAAATCGATTGGATTTGTTTATTTGGCTTAGCTTCTAATGAAATCACAAACAAATCGTGGGGAGTGCATTTTTCAGAACTGAAATCTTATATGGTTTTAAGAACTTTGTAAACTTGTTTTTATACCCGTTACTCGTAGAGTAAAAGGGTATATTGTATTCGTGCAAAAGTATGTAACAGGTAGAAGGAAGCGTTTCCGACCCCATAAAGTATATATATTCTTGATCAGGATCACTAGCCGAGTCGATCTAGCCATGTCCGTCTGTCCGTCTGTCCGTCTGTCTGTCTGTCCGTCTGTCCGTATGAACGCTGAGATCTCGGAAACTATAGAAGCTAGAAGATTGGCATTTTGCATGCAGATTCTAGGAATTCCTACGCAGCGCAAGTTTGTTTCAAAATGGTGCCACGCCCCCTCTAACGCCCACCATCGCTTATATACGATTTTAAAAATTTTAATATTTTGGAAAAGTAAAAATGCAGTTTTATTGTGTTTATCAATACCTATCGAAATGTAGAAGAAATTTTTCAAATCGGACCATTCGTTAAAAAGTTATGCGTGATCAACGTTTTCTATCTCTATCTCCATCTCCCTCGCACTCCCTTTACCTGAGTAACGGGTATCTGATAGTCGGGGCATCCGACTATAACGTTCCCTCTTGTTTCTTTGTCTTTTGTTTATACACATATCCAGTGTAACTCTTTTTAAAGTAATCATCTCGGGAAAAGTATTCGCGTAGTTCTTCGCTTGAAAAAATATCTTCTGCTGATGAAAGTCTTTTCTTTTTATAGGAGGATGGGGAAACTTTTCGCTCCTGCATTTAGCTCATAATCAACACCGGCTTTGTTCATAACTAAAAGCCATGTCACAATGTCTCCGCCCTCTGAAATGTTGGTAATGCGATACGCCGGAGAACGTGTTCGTTCCTTAAGAACGTGTACCATCATCATCTACATAGTGCCCCCGGAACCCTCGGGAATCCCCTGTCTTTCTGGCCCAAAACAGTACGAGAAAACACAAAACAGAACTACAGCCATATTGTGTTCAACCATTTTCAAGTGCAGACATAAAGTCACGATTTTCAGTTATTAGACGACGGCGCGGCGAAACTTCTCCTCCGGAGACGCATTTTCTCAGCTGCAGCTGCTGCCACAAGAAACAATTAATAGCGTCTGCTAAGATACACCTACCCACTCCGGATCGGCGAACTCAAAGATGTTTCTTCCCAGCCTGCTAATGGCCGTCGTCATCGTTGGACTGCCACCTTTTGTTGGCTGGTTGACATCTTTAAATATGCAGCAGGTTGGCTTACGCCTGTAAACAAGCCGCAAATGGAGAGTGGCCGAGCAAACAGTGGAAATGGAAACGTAAAGTGGGATGAAAGGGCGTCTCGGGGGAAGTACTGGGGGGACGTAAGCCTGCTCTATAGAGAGACCCTCTTCGGCAGCTTCCACACTTGGCCAACTCAAGTGGCAACTTC